AATTATCTTTAAAAAACACAGAAAGTCAGTAGCTATTTAAAAAGTGCAGGATGAAATGTAAGACCAACATTTTAGTTATATGTAGGATATTATTCGGAACGTTTTACATTTATAGGAAAAGCTGGGTTTTATACCAACTCTGTTTTAAAAAACTTTCATTATGCTGTTATTCTTTAGCATTTATAATGACAATATATTTAATTCTGATTTTAGACAAAAAATTTTTGTAACAACGAATAGTGTAAAGCTACTTTATTAGATTCTAAAGTAATAATTGATTTGTTTTGATATTTTTAATAAAATGTGTAGACATATACATGTTTATATTAAGATATTGATTATTTCCCCTTTTCGCTAGTCTTAATAGATGTCCCAGGAATTATTATGTAATTTTTTTTACAAGAATTACGAAACTACGAAACAGAATATATATATATATATATATATATATATATATATATATATATATATATATATATATATATATATATATATATATATATATATATATATATATATATATACTTATATAGAAAATATTACAAATTCGGCGCCTTTTTTTGCTATTTCCGCTCCCCCTACAACAAAAACCTGGATACGCCTCTGATATATATATATATATATATATATATATATATATATATATATATATATATATATATATATATATTTCAATTCAAACTGGTCACACCAACCTGCATATGCCAAGGTCACAGAAACAGATTAATGGGAGAGAGACAGAAGAGGTGCTATACAATAATTGACACAACTGTATTTAACTACCTAACATGTTATAAGAGAGCTGATATTTCTCGGGTCGATTTAAACACTATCTTTGGATACGCCCCTACTTAGGTCACACGTACTTTACAGGATTAGAATTATCCTGAGCGGATGATCTTCAAGCGACCTTAACAGATTCTATCTTTGGTTTTAATTAAGCTTGGTGGTAGCACTTATCATTTAATGACATGTTAATTGAGCATGTGCACTGTATTTCAAACAGCCTCAATGTTATCGTGGCACCATATGGAGAGATGGTGGTGAATAGAAATGTATGAACAAATTGACCAAATTACTTCGTTTACCAGCGGCGTCAATATATATATATATATATATATATATATATATATATATATATATATATTTATATATTTATGTATATATATACATATATATGTGTGTATATATACATGTATGTACATATTCTTTATATACATTATATATATATATATATATATATATATATATATATATATATATATATATGTATATATATATATATATATATATATATATATATATATATATATATATATATATATATATATATATATATATATATATATATATATATATATATATATATATATATATATATATATATATATATATATTATACACACATTTATATATTCCTATATATACATAAACATATATATATATATATATATATATATATATATATATATATATATATATATATATATATATATATTTATATATTTATGTATATATATACATATATATGTGTGTATATATACATGTATGTACATATTCTTTATATACATTATATATATATATATATATATATATATATATATATATATGTATATATATATATATATATATATATATATATATATATATATATATATATATATATATATATATATATATATATATATATATATATATATATATATATATTATACACACATTTATATATTCCTATATATACATAAACATATATATATATATATATATATATATATATATATATATATATATATATATATATATATATATATATATATATATATATATATATATATATATATATATATATACATAAACATATATATATATATATATATACATATACATAAACATATATATATATATATACATATACATAAACATATATATATATATACATATACATAAACATATATATATATATATATATATATATATATATATATATATATATATATATATATATATATAAAGAAATGAACTGAGTAAAAATTTAGATATTCAAACGAATAAGAAAAGTAGGCAGACTAACACAATCCTGGAGAAGGACAGTGAAAGCAGAAGAAAGGCCTACTGGGCTTACGTGAGCTCTAATAAAGAGAACTGCCTAAAACAGAATTCATTGGAAAGGTGTGGCTGCAGTCCTTTGCTATTTTTGGTCTTCAAGGAATTAGTGAGTAAGTGGCGGCTGAGGTCTGTTTGATTGCTTGTTATCACGGCACCAGCGCCGCTTGTTTCTGTAAGTTTGGATCTAGGATTAGCGTTGTAAACATGCTGTTCTTCAACACCTTAATGTGACAATAGTACGTAATTTATTTTTGGCCAATTCCGGGGGTGGATGGGGGGGGGAAGTTCGCTGGGAACAGTGTCTATAATTTTAATAGGCTTTTAATATGTGTTTTTTTTTTTTAATTAGCATTTACATATTTATTTTTTCGTTTTGGGTTTTCTGAAATTTATGTGTGAAAATTACAAAAAAATGATTGTTATGATGATTGCCATGCTATTAGTTAATATATTGTATCGTTTGTTCCTGTTTTGTAAAAAAAAATTTTTTGAAAAAAAATGTCCTAGATTACTGACGGTACTTATAAGTACCAATATCTTTTTGGGTCATTAAAAATTTATGAAACGAAATTTCCTTCGACATATACTTTGTATGTGCCAAAAGCAATATAATAAGACACATTGTTTAAGTAAAAATCTCATTCGGAACATAATTCCGTAAATAAAGGGGTAAAGCATGATTCGTTTCCGAGAAAAAAAAGAAGAATGTTATAGTCTAGTCAGTGAAAATGAAGCAAAAACAAGTCACTCAAATATTGTGTTCTAGTATTCGGAGGGTGAAAGTTTTCATTACATCCGTGTACTTTAACTAGCTTTGATCATGTAGGTTTTGTTTGTGCTCTTATTTGGGCCACATTCCACTCTCCATGTTGGTGAGGTTTGAAAACCTTAGGGTCAGACGGGCGTGAGGTCAAAATGTCACACGGCCGAGATATTTAAAATGCTATGGGGTTTAGGATTTCCTAGCCAATGTTTACTGCCTTAAATCTGTAAGGTAGTGTAAGTGAATGCAAACAAATGCAGCTGCATTATTTTCAGTAATTTATTTTTTCACGGTGGTGATTTTGTGAGAAAAAAAAATTGAATTTTATATACGGTTTACCAGGGGAGGTTTACCAAATTGTTCTTTGCAGAAAATTAAGCAGAAGTCTAACGCCGTTATCTCTTCGTACTCTTCTTTCTGCCCACCCCCCCCCTTCTCTTCTCTTTCTTCCCTCTTTGTCATTTCCCATTCATCCTCTTTTACCATTTCTTCCCATTCTCTCTCCCCCCTCCCTTATTCTTTCTATGTCTACCAATTTCTCTTTCCCTTTCTCTTTTTCCTTCTCTGCTTTTTCCAATTTCTCTCTCTCTCTCTCTCTCTCTCTCTCTCTCTCTTTCTTTCTCCCTCTTCTTCCTTCTCTATTTCTTCCCGTTCTCTTTATATCCTTCCGCAGTCGAAAACCACAAAATACAATTGATATGTTTTTAATCATCTCGTCTTTTTTAATTGGCCTTACATAAATTAATTAATAATAAACAAATAAAAATATCCCTACAAGCTAGTAACCTGAACATCGACACGAAGTCTTACAAATTCTTCTCAAACTCTGTATTGTTTATTTTGATTCCCTTCAAACAAAAAATAAAACGATACCAACAGATAAGATATACGCTTCACTGAAAACACTTGAAATGTTTGAAGTTAGCTTCGTACTAGAGGATAACTAGGGGGGGGAGGGAGGAGGGGGGATTTTTATGGGGAAGGCCTTTGAGATTATATTGAAGCGAGTCCTTCGTGTTTTTACATGCTTTATTTTAAAATTGTTTATCCAAAGTACTTTTAAATTTGAATAATCTTAATGACCAGCTTGTATCCAATATTTTGAAGGTGTTGTTGTCACATAAAGAACGCAACGCTGCGTTTACCTGGGTCACGATGACCTAGGTGGTTGTTGAGAAAACAAGAGTGAAGAAGCAAATAAATTCAAGGTCAAAGTTCAGTCATTTATCTTCAAAGCGAAAATGAAATGGTAAAAAAACTTTGTGAAAGCGTGTTTTGATGTGTTGAACAGATGTGTAAAAGGTTTTGATAGGCTGCTCTTTTATAAGGGGGAATCTTTTGATATGCTGATTAGATGTTTTGGTATACAGCTCATATAGATGTGTCGTATCATTTAATCAGCTAATGTTTTTGAAGTCATTTTTCTTTTTAAATATTTTCTAGAAGTTTTTTTCCGTTAAGGGATATAACTAGGGAAGATCGATTTTTATGGAAAATTTTAATTGAGTTTTTTCCCTTCGCTAACAAATTTTGTCAAGGTAGATTCAAATGTTTTTCAGTAAAAATGTTCAACTCAACGCAGTTTTAGTTATCTAGATCTAGAGAATGATAGAATCTAATTAAAATCTTAAATCTAATAGCCTGTTGACAATTTAGTATCGACTTAATACCACCTCGATCTAACTAAGCCTTATTGTTTGCCCAAATGTATCGCAAGAAACTCATAGATATATCTATATGTAAAAAGTTACTAAAAATGTATTATTTTACAAAAGCAAGAAACTTGAAGAAACGAAAAGGAGCTTAGTATTTTATTAGACCAGGGGTCTCCAAACTACGGCCCGCGGGCCGGATGCGGCCCGCGAGGTCCTCTCATCCGGCCCGCGGAGCTCTTTTTGTCCACGGAAAAAAACGTTTGTTGATGATGGCTGAGGAACTTTGCCCAGAAAAATCAGACATGCCTGGAAGAAACTGGCCCCCGAACTGAAATTTGATAGGTAATGCGGCCCTCGGACTGAAAAGTTTGGAGACCCCTGTATTAGACGAAACTATTTTTCTTCGAAATGAACAGAACAAAAACTTATTCTTCGAAAGAATTTTAGAATGTTTGTTGGCATAGACGCTAAAAAAACTACTTCCGATAGCAAAGTGATCGATTTTTCCCATTTAGGACATGTACTGTTAGGAATTCAGTAGTGCGTTTCTATATTTAGACGTGTAAATAGTTTTTACATATGCCACTCCTAACATTTTAGATACACTTACGAGACCGAATATATATCGTAAAAAGTAAAATGGCCGATAAACAATATAACATTAAGATGGGCGGAAACGCAGCAGCGTCGGTGGATGCTTACCTCGAATACAGACGGTATGTTAAGAGTAAGAGTAATAAAAGAATGTTATATTTGGTAATCATTAGTAATAGTAGTAATCAGCATGTACTAGATCTAGATCAAGATCTAGCGGCTAGTAATAGTATGGCTAGTATTGAGTAAGGTTAGTAAGTACTAGATCTAGATTCTAGTAATATTATAATATTAAGATTAAGTGATTATAAGGAATATAGATCTAAGTGCTAACTAAATCAATTGACAGTAGGGGTAGCCTAATTAGTAATATTAATAAATATTTAATAATTAGGCCTAATAAGTTAGATTGTAATAATAATTTATATAATTTATGATGGTTAACATTTCATAGTCATAGACCTCATTATGAGTATCATAGACTTGAATTTTTATTCTATTCAAGAATTATTTTAGACTAGTCTTGTTCAAAGTACATTGATGTTCAGATTTCAAACTGTTGTAGCAAACAAAATCTTAATTATTAATTATATTTTTTGCATTTATTCTAAAACAGAATTGTAGGTGATGATGATGGCGGTAAAATGTTCACCCCTGAGGAATTTGAAGCATACAAAAAGAAAGTTATTCCTCTGGTAATATTTTATTTTAAACATTTATTAAATGATTTAATATTATTCCTAATGTTTGCATTTCTGTTAATTTTAGCTGATCACTAAATATTGTAGAAAGTTTAATGTAAAGTAAGCAAAAATGTCCTCTGGCCAATATTCCTTTTATAATCATTGTGGTTAGATTGAAATGTAATATTTTACCATCTCTTCTAAGAAAATATGTCCTCAGACATGTTTAATTGTACCAAATTTTATTGCCTAGAAAAACAATCTCACTTAATTTGGAAGATGTTTTTATTTGACATTTTGTCCCTTAATAATGTCGCATTTTCTCCCCACCCTTCCCATATTATTTGTAGACATATTAACTAATATATTTGTTGCGTTTTTTTTTTCAGCGCATCAAAAACCGGCTGTATACTTGTTATAGCAACCCTAATGGAATGGATTGTAAACTTGTCGGTCCTGAGACACCTTGCTTCTGTACACACAGGTATTCAATTCATTGTGGAAGACCCTGACATAGCTTAGTTTTAGTGATTCCTAATAAGCATATCTTTAGCATTGAGTAGGCCCTACTTATCAAAATATTGGCAGGGCTTATTCAAGGTGATGTTTTATTTTAGCATCATTGCCAAATGCAGACCCTTACGTTAAATCTAACCCTATTGACAATGCTAAAACTTAAGCCATCCCTGAATTGAAAAAAAAACTACATTGAAAAAAAGTTTCTTGTAACAAACTTTATTAATCTCATCTTTCCTACATTTTTAAAATCTTGCAAGTAATTTTTTTCACTAATTTTCTTCCACAAATTAAAATTAATTTGGTTATACTATGAGAAAAGTTTAATTATCTCCCTTCGATTACCTCCCTTTGATAATCTTCCACAGATACAAGCAGCATAAGACAGACTTTGAAGAGATCCCAAAACAACGTCCCATCATGCTCCCCTGCAGTGTCTCAGGTTGTCCCTGCAAGTCGTATCATTACGTGCCTGCGAACGGCAGCCAGCCCATCCGCTGTACGTGCAAGCACCTTTCCGATGAACACAACCCCAAATCACCATTTGTTTGCAAGAAAGGTATTTGTTACAGTTAAAGTTATGAGTTTTTATGTATCAATCACCTTCCTTGTTTTTAACATTGATCTGTATTGTGATCTTTAAAAAGATATCCTTCTTACTCTTTTCTTCTTAAAATATTTTGAAGCTTGCTTTTTCTTAGTTTAATACATCACACTCACAGGGGGAGGGGGGTCCGTAATTTTGTGACGGTGTGTGACGAGGGGGAGGGGGGTTCACACTTTTGCATTATAAAAAAGCAATGTTAGAAAACAAATTTTAGACGTTATTTCGCGTTTTAGAAAACTGTTTTAATAAATTGCAATAGGAATTGATTAAAATACTCTATTTTGACAGAGTTCAGACAAGATATTGGAAAAAAATCGATGCTTTAAGAAAAATTCATCTGAAATTTTGAGGGGGGTTGTAGGCTGAGGTGTGACGTCATTTTGAGGGGGTCTGGCTTTTTGTGACAATGTGTGGTGGAGGGAAGGGGGGAGGTAAAAATCGTCAGAGAAAGCGTAACGTCATTTATTGATGACCCCTTAGGTTTAGTTTAGAATTCTGAATACAGAAGTATTATGTGTTGCTTAGTATCCAACCATAAGGTTGTCCATTAGCTAAAAGGATTTAATTGCATGTTAATTTATTTTACACCAATTAATTAATTCTTCAGGTGGATGCACCAGATGCACCGGCTTCAAGAGCTTTTTCAGTTGTCCATGTGGCTTTACTCACAATGACCATGAAATGATCATTGAGACGGCTGATGAACGTGAGGCCAGAGGTCATCCCCTGGGTGAGGCTGTGCCCTACCAGGCCATGGGGGGTCTGACTGGGTTCTCCTCCCTAGCTGATGGTTATCTGCGACTGGATCCTAGCGGCCGAGGTACTTCACCGTGTGTATGTGTGTGTGGCATGTATGTGGCTGAGGTACTTCACCGTGTGTATGTGTGTGTGGCATGTATGTGGCTGAGGTACTTCACATTGTGTATGTGTGACGTGTTTGTATTAATAACTATTACAAATATGTGCATTATTATTTTTATAAATAAGTAAAGTTACCATTTTGAAGGTAGATGAAGTAGAGTTTCCCTGTTTCCATGACCTCATCATGTGAAGGGATAATTTGGTCAGCACTATTCTCAGCTGCATTTTTTTCCCTAACATGGACTCAGGTACATTCTAAGGACTCAAGTCCATGATATTAATTCAAGACATTCAGATTAGCATGACCACCCCGCCCCATTTTTTAATAAGTTTTTGTATTACAGGGAAATGTAGTGAGTAAATAGAACAGCCTGTATGCCATACCTTGTTCAACTCTTTACTCTTGCCTAGCAGTTGGCCTACATGAGCTTTAAGATCTTAACCTTTGCCCTGACTATATTTACAAAATTGCAGTAGCCTTATTGACATACTATACGACACTGCTTTTTTACCACCTTAACCCAAAGTTTTTTCTAATAATGATTTTGTGATATTGAAAAATGTATCGCATTTGCAAATTATTAACAATAAATCTATAAATTGTAATTACAATTAGATAATGCTGTGTTTTCTTTCAGGGGCGCCATCTGAAGAATTTCTAAGCCAGCCCATTACAGCTCTAGACAACCCATTTCTCAGAGCTAATGTCAACTCTATCAAGGCACATGAGCTTGCAAAAAGGGGAACAAACGGTAAAACAAATGATTTTGTTGTGTCCCTTTGAAAGTGAGCTAAAGTATTTGAAAAATTATATTTACTGCAACTTTTTAATATTTATATACTAAAAGTAATCGAAGATTGAATTTAAATTTTTTTATATACATGTCAATATATAATATATATTCTAAAAGAATAAATTATTTCAAAAGTAAACCCAATATATGTTTTATAATAACAAAATGTTTGCTTTAAACATTAACCACTTCAGGAAATTCACAAGGTAAAATCTGCTCTTAAGTTTCCATTGTTGTGTTGCTCTTTCTTCTAGGTGTCACTAGTGTCTAATAATAAACTAACTTTTAAAAAAAAAAAGTAAAACCTAGAGAAATTAGACTGGGCTATGGAAGAAAAGAATATTTAAAAAATTTTTTTTTAGTCCCACCATATTAATAATAACAAACATTAGTTTTTTAAACAATCAGATGACATAACTCTAATCTGCAAACAACAAATCTAACATTTCTCCATTGATGTGTACTTTTTCCCCATTTAGACAACTTTATGTGTGTTTGTTATGGTACTTATGTGATTAAAGTTTAGCTTTAGCATCCTTGGTTTTTATCTTAAGCAAGTACTAGCCACTAATTTAAGAATTACTGTTTAAATATCTATTTCTTGCGTTAAACAAAGTACTTTCATTCTGCAAGTTTAAAATGTAATAAGGCACCACACTTTGGGTTGGCCTACTGCATAGATTGCTTGATAATTGACATCAATGAAAGTCATAGACCTACTATTATTAATATTTAAATTGTATATTAAAATGATTATGATACTCATACCTTTAACATGTGTTGTGTTCAAAAAGAATTTTCTTCTGATAGAGTCCTGAATTAATTGTATGATTTGTTAGTTTCTATAAAACTATAACTTCTTTTTTCATAAACATTATTCAATTCAGGATAATGAAAACAACTCTTAACATTTTCTTATTATTTTTTTTTTCTAGTTTTCATATTCACACCTTTATAGTATTGTAGTGATGTGATCTTAGATAACTTAAAAAATACCAACCCATCCTTTTTTATCTATAGAATGTTACAAATGTTACACCAAATAAGTTATTTTCTACTACTTGCACACAAAAGATATTTGTTTATTTTGTTTGGTAACTCTCCATTAAAGCAAGGCCTATCCCAGGTTTCAGCTGATTTTGTGTAAAACCTTAAGTTTTAGGCTTACTTACTATGTGCTGATTTTGAAGGACCTTTGAAAACTAAATGTATACATTTCTGTTGATAAAAAATTCGTGCTTTTAAATTTATATTTCTGTTAAAATAATTCCTAATTAAAAGAAATTCTTAACTGTTATTTAAATAATGAGTTCTGGAACTATACATTTGTAAGTTTCATTTGTTTATTAAAACATTCCTAGTAAACATAAAATTATTTATGGATGACTAAGTTGATGATTAATTATCATTTTGGTATAATTCACATTTGAAAGATTCTAAATCACAAATAGCTATTTAACATTATGTTTCAAAAATTTTAGATGGAATTTTCTTTTTAATATATTATTTTAATGATAATGAGTCTGCTAACACCTGATAATTACATCATGGTTGTTTAAAAGTTAATTATATATACAAAATCATTTAGTCTTTACTGAATTTATATTACCATTTATATGTATTTGTTTCTATTACAGCATTTGCCAATCCAACTATTTTTCAATTAACTGTCAAAACTTTTCCAGAATGCTGACTGCATCAATGCAAAATTTTTGTAATGTTAAGAACGAAACTTTTTTTTAATGATTGTCATTTATTAAAAAAATAAATTTAAATTTTGTGGCCAGTTGGCATTCTGGAAAATTGCAATCATTGTTTTCCCAGTGTGACAACATGCCTTGTTTCATCTTCTGTTGTGATCATGTTTGTTATGCTTTAAGTTCTTTTTGAAAGGACACATGTATTTTTGTCTGGTCTCATTTTGCTTGTTGTAAAATTATTTATTTTTAAAATGGCCAATTTATTTTGTTTATAGTTATTGATTTGTGATGACATTATTTCCAGTTGAATGGACCTATATAGTTTTGTATGTTGTTACTAAATGTGTTGTGAGATTATTTCTGTTGAAGTTGGCGTTAATTATTCTACGCTGTCTCAATGTTTTTTCTGAGATTATTTCTTCATATATTTCTATGTGCTGTCGTTGTATGTGTTGGGTTGTGGTCTGATTCCAGCTTTGACTGGCCCAGAGGATCCAGTGTTTCAGGACATTGAAGAAAGAATTTCATCCGTGAAGAAGCCTGGAGAATCTGATATGGACTTCTTTGAGAGGAGATACCAAGAAAGGGTGAGCTTTATTTCCGCCTTTGTAATTCACAAATCCAACTGAAAAGTTTGGATAGAGATATATTTTTTATTGCTGTTAATTATAAAAATTATTATATAATCTAAGATTATTCAGTTTTTAAAAAGATTTTTTTTTAAAACTCAATATGGAGTTTGTTTTATTTTAGGTTACCATCTTTATCAAAACATTAGTGAGAAAATATTGTATACTCTGAGTTATATACTATTAATTATTTAAAAATATTATAATAGTTGTTTAAAAAGCTATTTAATTCTCCAGCTAAAACTTGAAGCTGCGGCCAAAAGAAAGCCCATCGCTAACCCTTACACCCAGCAGAGCACTAAAGTGGGCCAGAGGAAAGCCATTGAACCAGCCTCATCAAAAGCTAAAGCAATTAAGCCAAAGCCAGGCACATCCAAGCAATGAGACAGTCAGATACCAACTGTGACTAAGATAGTTTAATTTTTAACATACATTCATACATACATTCATATATATATATATATATATATATATATATATATATATATATATATATATATATATATATATATATATATATATATATATATATATATATATATATATATATATATATATATATATATATATAATAGGGTATGTAGGTATGTAATAAGAAAATATCTGGCAGCCTTGGATCTAGTGTTGTATGTGGATTAGCCTAGACTGTGACTTAGTTGGTGTGAAAGCTTATATCAATCATATTGAGCCATTTAATATTTTTAGCACTACCATTACCTGTGATAAACTTATTTTTAGAGAACATTATATACGACTTAATGACCACTTGTTTTGGTAATGAGTACTTAATCACAATAAATTCCATTATAAATGGTTAGCATAACATTGTTGGTGAAGTATGTTTTATTGGCCTTAAGTTTCTGTGATATTTTTCGAACTGTTTTTCTTTACATTTTAATATACTTTCGTAAAAATCTATTTTATTGATCTGTTGAAATTGTTGCTTATTTTATTCATGGTTTCTGTTTTTAATTGTACACTGTTACATAAATTTTATTTGCTTACCCTATATATAGGCTACTTATTCTACATTCAAACTTAATTGGAGAATAATAGTACTTTATTCTTAAAGTAAATTCAACAAATAAAATAATATATGTTTTGATGTGATTGCAAAGAAAATCAAATAATTCTATTTATATAACCTTGGGATATAGATACAATACATAGAAATTATTGAAGTCTACATATAAAGTAGGCTATTTTAATATTTATTTATAGTTTTTTCAATTAATTTTTTTTATTTTGTTTATTAAAAACAAGCCACTATATAAATGTGTGAAACAATATTAACTGTAGTGCCTTTTTCAAAAACTGCTGCTGGTGTTAAGACTTCAAAGTTAATTTTGAATTGGAACTTTTCAATAATTTACAGTGCCAAAATTTTATTTCTCATATGAAACCTCACATTCCAAACTTTTAATTTACACAAATTGTTATTTTACTCTCAGACATGTTATCTATATATTTTCTGAATAAACAAAGTTTCTTAAAATCCAACAAGAGTACTCTAGTTTGTGAAGAATTTTTTTTTTTTTTTTTTTTGCAAGAGAAGTCACTTATTACTCATAACTTAAAACGTATGCCTCCAACCTCCATATTATCATCAGGCTATACAAGCTAGAAGTGTTTCTTTTAAACTTTTTCTCCGGAAGGGGGGGGGGGGGCAAAATGTCCAGGGGGGGGGGTCACTGTTAAAAGTATACATTTTCTATATAAATTCCATTTCGTTCGGGGAGTCCGTAGACTTTCTTCGCCCCCCCCCCCCCCCGAAGAGATGCCTGGAAGAAACTCTGCATGCTATAATGTCTACAATACATCCCAACCACTGACAACAACACACATTTGGTACATAGGCTCTCTACCAAGTCCTGACTCTTAAAAAATAAATTAAATGAAACCTTTGTTGGGGAAAAAATCTTTGCAATGCCTTTCAATCAATTGTTTTATTCTAGGAAGAAAGAAAAAGCAGGTCTAAGTGAGCCATGTCCAAAGGCGTAGTGAGGGGGGGGTGCGGACCGCACGGGGTGACACCATTTAGGGGGGGGGGGGGTGACACCAAGGCAAAAAAATAGCAAAATATATAGAGAAAAACTTGAGGGGGAGAGGGGTGCAAATCGAAGTTTGAGAGGAGTGCAAATCAAAAATTTAAAAGTTTGTCCCCGGGAAGGGTCGCTACGCCTCTGGGGGGTGACACCATTAAGTGCCGCACCGGATGACACCCGACCTCGCTACGCCACTGAGCATTGGTAGTGTCAAATTGACCAATTATGAATTACTGAAAAATAGAAAATAAAACAACCTATTTAGCGGCGTAGCATAGTGTCGCCCGTTAATTCTTAAACAGTTACCCGTATTTGATTTTTTAAAGATGTCCCATTAATTTTGGGATCCAAAATTAAATGTTTACAGCTATTCAACTGATACTACAATGAATGTCATCGGTATTGACTAGAAGTATGTTATAATAAAGATACTATGTTTATACTTTCAAATAACCTACAGTTAAGTAGTCAATTAGTAAAATATATAGTTTTAACAGGTTATATAATTAACATAAAAAATATAATAATTATGTAATCAAATTTAAAGAGTGTTTTTTGTTTTGTTTTTTGAAGCATGTTTTAGTTAAAATTTGTTAATTTAGCTATTCATGTGAAAGCTATTTCCCTTGAATAAAATTTTGATATTTGATTTTCCAAATGGGAGATAATTCGTTGTTTAACACTACATAAATTTCAAATCCACGCACCTTGGGTTCGTTGCAAATTAATTATCTAATTAAGTGTCTTTTTCATATTTTCACCCTCTCCTAAAGGATAATATATGTTAATTGTAGGTTGGAATCCATTACATTTGTAAACTTTTATTTTTCGAAAAAAAAAATGGTTACATAATCACACAATATAGACATTGGGGGTCATCCATAAATGACGTCACGCTTTTTTGACGATTTTTTACCCCCCCCCCCCCCCCTCCGTCACACTTCGTCACAAAAAGCCAGACCCCCCCCCCCTAAAATGGCGCCAAAATGGGTTGGGAAAAAAAAATAAAAGCTCATTTTAGCTGCAGTTTTGCATTATACATATAAAAAATATATGGGGTGAGCGCCAAATTGAAAGTTTGTCCCCGGGCGCCGGGAAGGGTCGCTGTGCCTCTGTTCCATTCAACTATTTTAGACAGCATAGGCCTAAGCCTAGCAATAAAATAGAAATAATAAAGGAGTATGATCGATTATTGTGTATAAAACACATTGATAGATCTCCCCAAGTACTTTGTGTACTATAAGGTGTTTTACTTTTATAAATAGGATATATCAATCACGATGGTTTTAGAGTGTATTGATGCTACTGCAAGATAAATTATGTCTAAAGTTTGTTTTGTTTCAACTATTTTGCGAAGAGCTGTTTTTAATCAACCGAACCAGCATGCTTTTACTTTTGCTTTGTTTAAACTTGCATCTTTTGTTTCAGTTATTTTGTTAAGATTTGTTTTAATCAACCGAACCAACATGCTTTTACTTTTGTTTTGTTTAAACATGCATCTTTTGTTTTGTTTCACCTATTTTGTGAAGATTCGTTTTAATCAACCGAACCAACATACTTTTACTTTTGTTTTGTTTAAACATGCATCTTTTGTTTTGTTTCACCTATTTTGTTAAGATTTGTTTTAATCAACCGAACCAACATACTTTTACTTTTGTTTTGTTTAAACATGCATCTTTTGTTTTGTTTCACTTATTTTGTGAAGATTTGTTTTAAACAAACGAATCAATCTTTTACTTTTTTTAACGTTGTCTTTGCCGGAGGCCGTATGTTGACCACGTGTGGAATAGAGACGAGGGATCTAATTAGTATTAATTCCCTGGGAGTGAAAGATAGCAGACGGCAACAGGAAGAAGCGGTTAAGATAAAAATGTCCGCAGGCTCATAGAAATCACATCTGTGTGAAACAAAGCCATTTCATTGAAAAACTTTCAAAAGTAAAAACTGTCTACTGTCGCTGAAGCAAGGATGTGAATGAGTATCCGTTACAGTAAAACCTGGAATTTTTGATACGGTTGGCAAGAGGCAGATGTCTACTTCATCTACTATCTACCATACGGATCGTTACGTCTGAAAGGAGAACTTTACTTTTACCTTACTTAACCGTAACTTAAGCGGTTAGGCGCTAGAGAAAAAAAAAACATTCTAAACTTAATTGAAACGTTTGTGTATGTGTATCTATGTTAGGGTACTGAATGGAAAATATTTGCAGACATCAGTCTCTTTTGAACATATGCTTGCCATGCCAACGACGGCCATCTTGAAAAAATCTACCTTTTTGTGGAGGTCCCAAGGTTGAAAAACTATCTATATATATAATTCTCTTCTTGGAGACCATAGAAAACACCAAGTTGTAAGCGCGCTCCCTACCACCCCCACCACTACATGGTCTGGTGAGCTGTGGTTCACGCTTAATGTTTACAATCGTAGAGCCGGGTTTAGTGACGGCAATTAGGGGCAGATAATTTAGTTTGAAACGATTTTAAACTTAGGGGAGGTAACTAAGAGGAGGCTGCTTTCACGGGGGGGGGGGGGGGGGGTTGGGGAAAGGAGGGAGGTTATCGTCCTTAAAGAGCTACTGATAATGTTTTAAGGCAAATATATTAAGTGGCAGCATTGGTACTGTCAAATTCACAAATTAAGATTTACTGAAAAGTAGAAAATAAAACAACTAAATAGCGGCGTATGATACGCCGCGGGTCGGCTCGTACTATATATTGAACATATAATTATTGATCCTGTTTTTACTAACTCGAATAGAGTCAGCTGCCTCTGTTTTGTTTGTTGTTTTTTTTTTTCGAATTTTCAACATTTAGTAAGGTTAAACTTTAATACCGTTATATAAAATTGGTAAAATTTAATAGATATGGACCAGAAATCAGCTCTCAGAATGCGATGCCTAACCTTGTACTGAGAAGCGACAGAAAGAAGTGCGACACTGCTGTATAATAGGTCTAAAATTTGTTGTATTTAATCCGCTGGTGTTGAAGGAGAGGTAGATATAAATAGGTGGCAAAGTTACCCTTTCTAACCTGGCGGTTCAAAGTGGCGTAGATAGGGGAGGGCGGCTGCCCCGGGCGCAGAACCTCCAAGGGGCGCCAAAGGGGTAGACAAATAAAGATTGTTTTAAGCTGAAGTATCGAATTATACACAAAGTTACGAAAATAAACGACTACAAGGTTTTACACACTGATTTCTATATCAATTATGAGGCGATGAAATAGAAAATGTTACGAGATATTAGCTGTTAAGAAGAGACACACCTTTCCAACTGGAGGAGGGGGGGGACGCTTTTCACAGACAGGAATAACTATATATAAATTGGTAGGGGGATGGGGGAAATGATAGTTCGCCTCAGGCGCCGGAATAGGTGGCTAAGCCTCTGGCGGTTCATAGGGTATATGAAGCAGAGTTCACTTGTTTCTAAGACCTAGCGATATTCCCCCACATACTATTAAAGCCTAGATGTGAAAATTACACTTTAAAATTCTACATCGATGCCTCCCAAAGGTTTGGAATTTAAATTCCATTTACGACATATGAAATTATTTTTTTTAAAGGTTATTACCTAACTGTGCCCAACATTAACCATCTATTTAAATATATTGAAAAATAATTGCAATCAATTAAATTTTATTAATTTTGCACTATAACTCCTTAATCACCAAATTACAATATTTTAATTAAGACTGGGATGGCTTTTTATTTTTAAAAAATCCATTGCAGAACTATTGAAGTTGATTAATTCTGAGCGATATCAAAGACATTTGCATTAATTACCACACCATTATAATTTTTTGCTTCACATATTTCATCACAAAACTACAAAAAATTAAATTAGATGTGGTATGTGAATCGCGTAAGTGCAACCTTAATGTTTTCTGTGTTTCCGCGAAGATTAAAATAGCTGATGCTCGTCTCAAGTCTATTTTTAGCCATACGATCAGGACTCCAATATTAGAGAGTGTACCAAGCCAACTCCAGACTTGTTAATATTTGATTCACCAAACTTGTCCGCTGGAGAGGGGGATATAGTGAGGGAGAGGTGGGGAGGGAGCGAGGGTACATTATTCAATTTGTTAAGTATTCTCTTTGAGCCTGCGCCGTACTAATGAAGCTATGGTGTTTAATGCCAACGTTTAGATTACAAAGGGTTGCGAGTGTTGATGTAACTGTTTCAAGGAAGAAAAAATGTGTTGAGTAGTAGTAGTAGTAGTGTGTGTGTGTGGGGGGGGGGGGGGGGTGCATGAGTAAGAAACTGCAAACTTGCTGATAAAAGTTCACTTTAGTCTGTGAAATGGATATCCTGGATAATGGATTTTTAAATTATGTTTTTAAAATTATCTCGATAAAGAAGTCGTAAAGCGTAGAACTCCCCCCCCCCGACACACAGTTGCTGCAACACACCCCTCCCCTTCATGTACACCACTTCACCCCACCGAAAACACAAGGAATCTTCCGTAGCTATACTTCCCTTGATGTGTGCTGCATACACATTTTAATAACCAACCCGACAGACTTCCTTGCTAGGTGATCTAACGGCCTTAAAATTTTGATAACCAACCCGACAGACTTACCTGCTAGGTGACCTGTCGGCCTTTGATTTTTGATAACCAACCCGACAGACTTACCTGCTAGGTGACCTGTCGGCCTTAGGTTTTTGATAGCCAACCCGACAGACTTACCTGCTAGGTGACCTGTCGGCCTTAAAATTTTGATAGCCAACCCGACAGGCTTCCTTGCTAGGTGACCTGTCGGCCTTTGATTTTTGATAACCAACCCGACAGGCTTCCTTGCTAGGTGACCTGTCGGCCTTAAAATTTTGATAGCCAACCCGACAGGCTTCCTTGCTAGGTGACCTATCGGCCTTAAAATTTTGATAACCAACCCGACAGGCTTCCTTGCTAGGTGACCTGTCGGCCTTAAAATTTTGATAACCAACCCGACAGACTAACCTGCTAGGTGACCTGTCGGCCTTAAAATTTTGATAACCAACCCGACAGACTTACCTGCTAGGTGACCTGTCGGCCTTAAAATTTTGATAACCAACCCGACAGACTTACCTGCTAGGTGACCTGTCGGCCTTAAAATTTTGATAACCAACCCGACAGACTTACCTGCTAGGTGACCTGTCGGCCTTAAAATTTTGATAACCAACCCGACAGACTTACCTGCTAGGTGACCTGTCGGCCTTAAAATTTTGATAACCAACCCGACAGACTTACCTGCTAGGTGACCTGTCGGCCTTAAAATTTTGATAACCAACCCGACAGGCTTCCTTGCTAGGTGACCTGTCGGCCTTTGATTTTTGATAACCAACCCGACAGACTTACCTGCTAGGTGACCTGTCGGCCTTAAAATTTTGATAACCAACCCGACAGACTAACCTGCTAGGTGACCTGTCGGCCTTAAAATTTTGATAACCAACCCGACAGGCTTCCTTGCTAGGTGACCTGTCGGCCTTTGATTTTTGATAACCAACCCGACAGACTTACCTGCTAGGTGACCTGTCGGCCTTAAAATTTTGATAACCAACCCGACAGACTTACCTGCTAGGTGACCTGTCGGCCTTAAAATTTTGATAACCAACCCGACAGACTTACCTGCTAGGTGACCTGTCGGCCTTAAAATTTTGATAACCAACCCGACAGACTTACCTGCTAGGTGACCTGTCGGCCTTAAAATTTTGATAACCAACCCGACAGACTTACCTGCTAGGTGACCTGTCGGCCTTAAAATTTTGATAACCAACCCGACAGGCTTCCTTGCTAGGTGACCTGTCGGCCTTTGATTTTTGATAACCAACCTGACAGACTTACCTGCTAGGTGACCTGTCGGCCTTAAAATTTTGATAACCAACCCGACAGACTTACCTGCTAGGTGACCTGTCGGCCTTAAAATTTTGATAACCAACCCGACAGACTTACCTGCTAGGTGACCTGTCGGCCTTAAAATTTTGATAACCAACCCGACAGACTTACCTGCTAGGTGACCTGTCGGCCTTAAAATTTTGATAACCAACCCGACAGACTTACCTGCTAGGTGACCTGTCGGCCTCAGTGGGTAGGTACTCGTATTCGTCTTAGATCTGATGTGTAAGGTCCACGACATTCCGGCTGCTTCTGCTTCACTGACAGCTGATCTGTTCCAAGTTTATTTTGGTCTACCTACTGTTCTCAGGCCTTGGGTACTCCGGTCTAGTGCCTGTCTGGTGATGTCACTAGTTGGTTTACGCAAGGTGTGTCCAATCCATCTCTATTTGCTGTTTGTAATTCTCTGCCAATCGGGTAATGCCCAGTTTTTATCAATAGTTCTTGGCCATTGATAATTTTTTCTAAAACCTAATCTATTGTACCATACATTTAATAGAAGTTCGCAATGATTGCCCTATAATTCTAAATTATCAGTAATTTAAACACTTCGTTAATTTTTTTTGTCTCTGTTCTAATTTTTTTGATTTGTTAATAATAAGGTGACCTTCTTTAACAACATCGTAGTTTTAACTAAATGTTGAAAGAAATGTTATCGTGTTTTGGAACTTTTTTTTTTTTGCTAGAAAAATAATTTCAATAATGTAATCACTTTGTGAGATTTAGCAGTTAACCAATGATCTGTAACGAAAATATTGAACGGTTACAAATCGAAGACTTTAAAATGCTACATTAAAAAATATTTACAAACAATACAGTTTTTTATAAGTATTAAAACAATGTTTTTTTATTATCATATCCCAGAAACGAAAAACGAAAAGTACATTTTAAAATCTTTAGGTACAACATTCGAAAAAAAATCATAAATGTTAGCACATATAATATATATATATATATATATATATATATATATATATATATTATATATATATATATATATATATATATATATATATATATATATATATATATATATATATATATATATATATATATAATTAAACAAGACAATTGTAAAAATGACTGAGAGATTTGGGGGGGGGGGGGGTTAAGTTACATCATGTATATGGTGGATTACGACTGGTGAAGTTTAAAGTTGAAATGGGTGGATACAGTTTACACGTGTCCTGGACCCCATACGCTGGTCAAACTATGGTCACTTCGTGGTCAAGCGGAGATCTAGTACTATGGGTAGGGCTACAGTTATGGGACGGCCTGGCCGGGTGATAGAGCATTAACTGCTAACCTGTTAGTCTCGAATTCAGATCCCGGACTGTTTAACGTTTCTGAGTTCACCCAGCTCTGATGGGTACCTAACTCGCGTTAGGGAAAGTAGATGCGGGCTGGGCATAGTGCTGACCACAGTATCCTTTCCTATTGTGTGGTCAAGAAACAAATGAACTCTACTTTATCTGCCTTATGGACTGCCAGGTCCGAAACTTTTACATATCGTTAGAAGAGATACCAGTTTCATCATTTTTATGTGTTTGACTAAATAGGCGAAAAGATGTGAAGAAACATTTAAGTTATTGGGAAGAGACCAATGTTGTATGTGAAATAGGTTTATTGCGTTCGTTTCTAATCTTATATCATCCGTTCTTCATCCAAATAAGCAAAAAATATTCATTACTTGTAAGTTTGGTTATGTAAATTAATTAATCTTAATTTGTTTTACTGGTCAATCTTATGACTTAACCACGAGTTCATTGTTTCATGTTTTACAAAACGTACAAAATATGCACACACCATATCACATTGCGTGCTTTATCTTCGGTATAGAGAGGACCCGACTTCCTTTAAGAGGCACGTAACGCGTTTTTCAAACCTAAGATCATTCGGTTTGAGATTTATAAAGAAGAGAAAATAATTCTACAATAAGGATGCAAGAAGCGATAACTAGCAATCATATAAAGCGCATAATACATACGTCTAACCATCAGTTTGTGTAGCTTGGTCTACGGACTACGTCTTGATGCTACATCTGAAATTAAATAATCTACTGCACATCTGCAGTCTACAAGTGTTCATGCACTAAATTCATGTTTGCATTAGTAGGAAAACAGTACACCATATAGAGTAATAGTTCTTACATATCAGATACATTTTAAGACATATCAGATACCTTTGATGATCACCCTTCAAGATTGGTGTATTTCTTTTACCAGTGTCCTATAATGAACTCTTTAAAATAGGTGTGTTACCTTGTTAGTAGTATAATAATATCTGGTTTACAGTTTAGATAATAAGTATGATTAAGGCTATTATTAGAAAACGGGTTAGAGATACTTTTGACGGTGACCGGAAAATTGCGCACACAAAAAAAAATGCGCAAGGACCTTTTTTTTTTTTTTACATCGAGCATTTTTAGACATTAACAAATAGTGACTACATGTACATTGTAGCATAATAAAACATATTTCCATGAAATATGACAAAAGTTAAAGTGTGTTAGTGTAATTTGTTTAAATTTGCGAAATTTTCTGTTTGCGCAGTTTTCCGTTTCGTAGTTTTTCGATTGCGCATTTTGATGGAAACCAGCGTTGACATAAATCAAGCTATTTAAAATACAGTATACTACGAACAACTTAACACCCCTTTTTTACGAAGATTTCATAACTGTGGCATTACCGGAAACTGGTATAAAACATCCACCAGGGGTGCTTTGGAACAAAGCCCGAACACCGGCCTGGCATCGCGTTAAAGTTAATGCACTTAATCTCTCGTTTGAAACACTAGCTAGCCCGCCAAACTGGTGGCTATAGTTCACGCACTCACCAACATTAATGCTGTATTTAGACGCATCGGGGACTACTTTTTTTCCCAGAGTATTGTCTATCCTTAATCATCCAGGGAAATAAATGGAAAACATTCCCTTCCCCACGCCAAGTGATCCTCTGTCAATTAACATCAGAACATGATGCGCAGATGTCCGCGCATGCGCAGATGCGCGCGCACGATTGTGTGTTAGCGTTCCGAGCATCTAATTTGCGGACAAGGACATCGAAGCACGTCTGCTGAAGGTTTTTCTCACCATATTGTCATCAGATGTCACCCATAAGTTTTTTTAAGGGAAATCCTACAAAATCATCAGCTGGTGAAATAGATCGGTAATATGATGACGACGGCGACGAAAGCGATGAGGAGAATGCAGATGAGCACCGGATTGATCTTGTTGCAGGTTTTGTCGTCTGATGTTTCGAGAATTTCCACCTGGGTGTCTTCCTGGAAAGAAACAAAGGTGGACACTGGTTAATTAGCTTGACTGACTAACTGAAGTCTATCACAGCGTATTATTTATTTACTTCATGCTACATATTTCTCTTTACAATTAATAAAATAAAAAGTCCTGTTTTTGAGTCTACCTGAAAATTAGGAAGTATTATGTCTCATACAAAGTCTTCGGCTAGGAAGTAAAATCATACGAAGTGGTTTGGGAGTTCTCTTTCCAAATATTAAGGTTAATGGGGAAAGTGGAGTTCATCTGTTTCTATGACCTCGGCATATTAAGGGATAGCTAGGTACCCAACAGAGCTGGTGAACTCGGACCTTCAGTGGACCTGAACCTGGATTCAAACTTGAGTCTTTTAGGTTAGCAGTCTAGCGCTCTGCCGCTGAGCTTATTTAAAGTGTGTAGAGCTGTAGCATATATCTATTCATCCATGGTCCACATCACACGTGTGACTTTACTCACAAGGGAGAGAAATAACAAACCTATATCAGGTACTGGTTAAGGTTTCTTTCAGACGTTTCGTTACAGACCAATTTAAATTCGATAATTTGTTTTTTCTAGTCTGGGAGGGGAGGGGTCTGAGAACATGCTCCGTGAGTGGGCAGTGTCCACCCCCCCCCCCTACACACACACACACACACACACACACACTTAGAAATGCTTGAATGAAACACTGGTATTCGGGCTACCAGCGTTCGACAATGGACTCTTCCGAAAATAGTTATGAGAAGCCGTGAGTATCATTGTAATATTAGGTCTAGTGTTAGGCAAGCGAATTAAGGTTTGGACTATGATAGATCTTGATAACCGATAACCTTACACCCCAATTTTAAGACGATTCCATTTATGTAGAATTATCGACTATTGGTATAATACAATACCCCCAGTATCTGACATACTCGCGTTATTAACATACTCACGTTATTAGCGTCAGATGTAATTTTTTCGACATGTCCGTCCTTCCACACATAACGCACGCTTTCCCCATGCGACACGCCGCCATTTTTGAGCTGAACTTTCCCATCTTTCCAAACGTACTCGTCCGTGCCACTACGCATGCGCACATCGTCAGCGCTGACGCTGCGCATCCCGTGACTACCCTGGAAGGACCGCGTCTCCGGAAGCAGATGCTGTTTGTGATTTCGCGGCTGTTCCCCGGTCTTGTTGAGGTTGCTGCTTGATTTGTTGTGGGTGGAGTACGGAATCTTGTGGCCCAGAAGGTGATGACGCGCTGACCCGTCGAGCGAGGTGTCAATAATTTGTCGACCGGAAAGATCGTTGTACGACTTGGACATCTTGCTTGTCGACGGTGTTAAACCACCGGTGTGGAGAACACGGCCGAAGTTCTGCGCTTGGAGTTGTTTCCCTTTATTAGTCTGTGGTGCCGACTTGACCTTACCGTCGTCTAAAAGTTTATCAGTGACCGAAGATTCAGACCATTGCTCATCTAGACTGGTCGATCTCTCATCAGCTTTTATTAAATGCCTAAGATGGTTCTTTTTGCTTTCAAAATTTTCTGGGATATTGTTGGTGATCCCTGATTTTTCTGATGTCTTCCCGAAACTGCTTGACATATCATAACGTAATTTATCCGATTTTCGTAAATCGTTTTCATTTTCGTACGATAATTTATCAATAATATTATTCGTTTCGGTACTATTACTGTCAGTGTTTTTAATGAAATTGACGTCATCGGTTATACTTTCTAGCGTGATGACGCTATTCTGGTTCCCGTATGTGTGAGGGGAGGGTTTATTTTCTAAGATTGTGGAACAATCTTCGATTGTGGATGATTGTTCGCCTACAATCAATCTCTCCTCGTCACCGGGCGTCGAGATAGCGCTGTGTATGATAATGGCGGGCGCGTCCAAAAACCGGAGCCCGCATCCGTCTTTGGTGCCAGGATTTGACCCGGACGCTGGATGCTGGTCAGTTCTGAGTGTCGTCTGCGACAGCACGGCAGCGTCGTGTCCACTTTCGTTGGTCAGCTGTACCGGAAGCAGCGCCACCTCCTGGTATTTTCCTGTAGCGTGAAGATCGGCCATGGTAATCGATACGACAGTCTAGACTCGGCGATATTCAGGAATCGATACCCTGAGGGAGATGAAAAAAAATAATTTCAATGATACACCATTGGGGATGGATATTAGATTATACGTAATGAAGTTAATATCCAAGCCATTAGCCTGTGTTGTTATATAACAATGCGAGACCCGTTAGAAAGAAAAACAGACAGACAACGTATACTATAATGGAATGTAAAAAAATGAAAAATGTTCTTTTGATAGTATAATAAACTGAATGATTTAAAAAAAAAACAAGATCACACTAAGCAGCAGGGGGGGGGTAGAGTGCGACTGTCTACTTCCTATATTTACACTAAGATACTTGCACCCTACCTCCGACACGAGGAAAACTTGACCAGACTCTCTACACACACACACACTAACACACACAAACACGAGCGTGCGCGCACTCACTCACTCACACACACACACACACTAACACACAAACACGAGCGTGCGCGCACTCACTCACTCACACACACACACACACACTAACACACAAACACGAGCGTGCGCGCACTCACTCACTCACACACACACACTATCGTCCAATCGCTCACTGTCTCTCGTGCACTCTTAACGCTTGATGTTATTTGTAATTCAACTTTCAACAGTTTTCTTACAATCTGAGCCTCGAGATGCGACTTACAAAGGTAGATTCAACGAAGGGAACCCGGAGGAACCTGCGTTGCCCTTCGTGGTCTATGTTTTAGCGCATCATTAATTAGAGAATAAATACTATATTTTAATGAGTGTAAAAATTAGAAAAGAATGTTTCTAAGACAGCGCAAGGCTATTCACACACCACAAAGTTACTCACACATCACAAGGTCACTCATCACCATAAGGTGACTCACACACCACAAGGTTACTCACACATCTCAAGGTTATTGACACACCACAAGTTCACTCACACACCACAATAGCACTCAGACATGAAATAGCACTAACACACACACACACCACAGTAGCACTCAGACATGAAATAGCACTAACACACACACACACCACCACAATAGCACTCAGACATGAAATAGCACTAACACACTCACACACCACAGTAGCACTCAGACATGAAATAGCACTAACACACACACACACCACCACAATAGCACTCAGACATGAAATAGCACTAACACACACACACACCACAGTAACACTCAGACATGAAATAGCACTAACACACACACACACCACAGTAACACTCAGACATGAAATAGCACTAACACACTCACACACCACAGTAACACACACACACAAGGCCATGTCCCTGACAATACCGTGACGCTAATTAAATTTGAATACCTCTGGGCCTAAGTACCGGATGGTCGTGTTTTAAAGCCGTTAAAAACTTGTATAATTAATGAACCAGACGCTTGTTAGCCTATATGTTATGTACATCTTATCAGTGAGAGGAGCCGTTGACTTCACCATAAGAAAACTATACCAGCCTTATGTAGTGTTGGAGGGGGAACAAAATCAATGAACATGGAGCCAGTGATAGGAAGGTTTTTACATACAGAGTAAAACATTGAGCGTGACTGTATTTTTTCTATTATATTTTTAGTCGTGATTCTCATAAAGCGTGTGTATATTAATACATAATCGAGACTGGTTAAAATATATAAAGGACAGTGGCTATTTTTAGAGTTAATTTTAGATTGAACTTTTTAAAAGGGTAATTTTTAAAGGAATAAGATTGTTAATTTGACTGAAAACTTTTATTTCGTGTTATTTTTTGGTGTATTACACATAAATTTATAAGAATAAGTGTCAAAAAGATCTTTTGAGAGTAACCTGATTAAAGTTCATAGAGCACACAACAGATATGATAATTTTATCTGGTACAGTTATGTTCGTGTGAGAGAGATGTAGAGAAATATCGGAGATGTTTTACTGGTTAGCTGTTGGGCTTAGCGCTATGGTTAGTCAGACTAGGGTCAGGATATATATATATATATATATATATATATATATATATATATATATATATATATATATATATATATATATATATATATATATATATATATATATATATATATATATATATATATATTATATATGTATATATATATATATATATGTATATATATATATATATATATATATATATATATAAAATCACACAAAGGCCTTTCGAGTACCCTCTTCACAGTTGATTTTACATATTTATTAACTTATTTTGACTAAAGTAAATGATGATCTATATTTAAATGACAAATATTAACTCACAAACGCAAAATTTATTAAACATGAGCTTCCATATTATTTCTCAGATAGTAATGCAAATGTAAGAAGCGGAGAAATTTTTTAAACTTCTAATTTATAGAGCACGGGTTCCCAACCTTGGGGTCGCGACCCCCAGGGGGGTCGCGAAGGTCTTTCTGGGGGGTCGCCAACTGGTATACTAAACCTTAGTAATTTGAAACAAAACATAAATATTTAGAAGAATTTTTGAAATTCGGCTTCATTAACATCACTGGAAATGTAATAGAGAAGAAACACACCGCACTGTACAAAGTTGTTCTCAGTCACGAATCTATGAAATCTTCAAAACTAAAACGTCATTTGAGACTAGTCATTCGAAACACAGAGGTCTTTCGTCGGTAAGAAGCTAGTTGCAGACGCCAGAGACTTGATCGAACAGGATGTTTTCACCAGCATTAGTGCAAGCATCAAATGAAGTCGCGATAGAAAATGCCAAGCAAAAAAAAAAAAAACAATAGGAGAAAATCTCATCAAACGCCGCATGTACGTAAATGTTAAATAACAAATTTTTATTGAAATTAAGCTTTCACCATTGTTTGCTTTTCAAGTTGATAAATCAACAGACGTGAGTTCGTGTTCGCAGTTGCTGGTTTGTGTCTATATTCATGCAGATGATAACAAAGAAGAGTTGCTTTTTTGTGAAGATAGCATGGAGAAAATAAATACCTTTTTTTAAACTGGATGATTAAAATGTTTTAGAACGGCTGCGGGGGTTTGTACAGATGGTGCGCCATCTATGTTTAGCTCAAAATCGGGCTTTCAGAAAACAGAAAAGATTTAGCTCCCTAACCACTGCCCTAACCAATCGACATCAAGAGTCCATTGCTAGTATAAGTCGTAAATTATATAAAATCTGGAGCCTTCAAAGAACTGAGCAAAAGCATTAATATAGATCACGAGGTTCTGCTCTTCTACACTACAGTACGCTGGCTGTCAAACGAAATGTTGTAAATTGTGTTTTTTAATTGAAATCTGAAATCAAATTGTTCTTGGAAGTGCAAAGGAAACAAGACTTTTTGGTATACTTAAAACGACATTTAATGGTTGGAGAGAGTATCATACCTAGTAGATGTGTTCGAACATCAAGATAAGTTTAACCTGAAGCTTCAGGGAAAATGAACGAATATTATAACTTTCCATGATAATCTCGGTGCATTTTTATCAAAGCTGCAAAATCGGTAAAGAAAATAAATCTTGGAAATATTGTAAATTTGAGAAACTCTGCGGTGTGGTAGATGAATCTGATTGTGAGATAATTAAAATTTGAAAGAAGCTATTTCTGGGCATCTTGAATCTCTTGAAAACGAACTGCATGGCTATTTCTCTGAGCTGAAAAAAGAAGAATCTGAATTTACGTATTACCCATTTTCTTCTTCCCTTGATGTTGCCAGCATTTCCGATGAATTACAAGATGAATTCTTTGATTTGCAGAATGATTCCGAGTAAGATGAAAAACTGCAGACACAATTTTGGTGTAGTATTCACATTCATACCCAAACGTAAAATTTATTGACTTTTCGAGACTATATTTTCAACACTATTCTTCGATTTAAAAAAATTAAGATAATTATAACGATATAGGTTGGCGTTAACAATTTTTTTTTTAAATTAAAAACTTAACCACGAAGGTTTAGTAAATAGTATGCAATTTTACTCATGCTATTAAAACAGTTATCAAGAGTAGTTCATATTGAGAGTCTACTAGAAAATCTTATTTTAATGCTTATTAATTTCCATACTAATTTCGGCTTTTTAATTCTATGGGGGTCGCGGGTCACTTACTTTTTATAAAAGGGGGTCGCCACTCTAAAAAGGTTGGGAACCACTGTTATAGAGCCTATAGAGAAAAAAAATATGAATTCAACACGATCGAACGTGGACTTCATAATTTACCAGGACTGAAGAAATTCTAGATCAATTAGTTAAGCGAGGCTATTAGCGTTTTTTATAGCCTCACTGATTACTCCAAGATGTCGTAAATAACAGAGTGACTGCCCTTGAATTATCTATCTTGCTGGCGACCGTGTCATCGACTCTCATTCT